ACCACAAGATCATGACCTGAGCCAAAACCAAGAGTCAGACAATTAACCAACTGAGCCACCCAGGTGCCCTGTATTTGAAATTTCTAAGAGTGTCTTATGACTTAAGAAAATTTTTAAGTTTATTTTGAGAGTGCGAACTTGAGCGGGGGAGGGGTAGAGAGAGGGAGAGACGATGCGAAGCCTGACATGGGGCTTGAACTCACGACCTATGAGATCATGACCTGAACCCAAATCACGAGTAGGACGCTTAACTGACTGAGCCACCCAGGCACCCCTTGTCTTATGATTTTTAAAAATTTAAGTTCGAGAACCTTATTCGTGGGGCACCTGGGTGGTTCAGTCCATTAAGCATCCGACTTTGTCTCAGGTCATGATCAGGTCACGGTTCACGAGTTCAAGCCCCGCATCAGGCTCTATACTGACAGCTCAGAGCCTGGAGCCCGCTTCAGATTCTGTTTCCCCCTCTCTCTCTGCCCCTCCCCTGATCGTACTCTGTCTCTCCCTCTCTCTCAAAACTAAATAAGATCTTTTTAAAAAAAATTTTTAAAAAGAACTTTATTCTTGAAGTGCCTGGGTGGCTCGGTCGGCTAAGCATCTGACTCTTGATCTCAGCTCCAGGTCTTGACCTCAGGGTCGGGTCCCACGTTGGGCTCCCCGCTAGGTGCGAAGCCTACTTAAAACAGAAAAAGAACTTTACTTCCCATTACCTTTGTGGAAGGTAACTGGAGACAGCACAGGCTTTCTTACTGCCACTTTGGCTCCATCGCCTTTATTCTGTGTGGTAAAAGTAGCAGTTCCTAGAAAAGCAGGCAAACTTCTTTAACCTTCTGTATACATATCGTATTAGAAATTCTTTGAGGACAGAAACCTGTGACTAAGAGGACCCGATACACGGTAGTCGATTTGAACCAAGAAAGCAAAACAGAAGTGCAGAGGAAGGAAAGGAAAACTCTGCTTTGAAACTTGGGACCCTCACAGCACAACCATGGTCCTTTTTCAAAACGGCAAATGTGCCTGGACACCCTCTCTGACAACTGGAAGAGCCAGGCACATAAGCCTCTTAGCAGTAAACACCTTGACGGATGCCAAGTTACACTGTATGGAAAGAACGATCAAGAATGATAAGAAAGTTCTAGGGTTAAGAACACCATTTACTATTTATAGTATGCAAAGCACTTTCCATATCTTTTTAAAATACTTCTCTATCTCCTTTAGAGAGTAAGAGAGCACGAGCAGGGAGGAGCAGAGAGAGTGGGAGACACAGAATCCGAAGCAGGCTCCAGGCTCCGAGCTGTCAGCACAGAGCCCGACACGGGAACCCAAACCCACACACTGTGAGATCATGACCTGAGCCAAAATTGGACACTCGACTGACTGGGCCACCCAGGTGTCCCAAAATGCTTTCCTTATTATCTCAACACTTCTATAAGATAGGTTGTAAATAACATATTTGAGGGCACAAAGTGAGCCGCAGAGCTGGGTTATGAATACAGGCCCGCATGATTCCACAGGCTAGAACTCTGCCTTTGATGCTTCTTAGTTACTTATCATACAGCCTTTATATTGCTTTTGATGAAACTAAACATAAAACAAGCAAAAAAAAAAAAAAAAAAAAAAAAAAAAAAAAAAAAAAAAAAAAAAGGCAGGGCGATCACTTAGGGTAACAGTTTGCAATCAGAGCTGAAGATATTAGCCAGAAATTACACACTGCTTTACAAGACAGGTAACAACACAAAGACTCACCAGTATCTTCAGAACAACTCTTCTTTCACAAAATAAGCTATAATGAATTTTAAAATCCTGATGAGCTCTCCCTCCCTATCTGTGCAATGACTGCACTTGCCCCACGTGGGCCCAGGTGACATGGGTCACTGACTAGGATAGGACCTGGGATCAGTTATGCATGGGTTTCTCCCACTGCCCCACAATATCGGGGTGTCTAAGCCTCTGAATGCGGCCAAGGGAAATGGCTGGGTTCTGGGTGTGGAAGAGGCCACATGTAGGCACGACCTGGAGAGAGAAGCCAGCTTGTTCACCAGCCCCTCAAGTTGCTTTGGTCTCTCACATTCTGGGGAAGCTAAGTGACAGGTGAGCTGGGGTAACAGCTGGTCATATACTGGTCTTCTCTGATATAAATACAGCAATCAGCAATACCCACCCACTGGTATTCCCGGACAGGAGTTTATAAAAAGCTATTTTTAGGCAGAAAAGCTAAATAGCCATTGTTTTCATTTATCCAAGTATTCAATTATTTCATTTGTTCAGTGTGAGAGTACGAGATAAAGAAGAGAGTGTTGCTACCCTCAAAAAATACAGTCAAGCATAGGACATGAGTTTACAAGCAACTACAACATGAGACGTGTTGCATGCACATGTGATTGAGGGGTCAGAGCACAAAAAAAACCCAGTTACAATGGTAGCTAAAAGAGTTATCTCTAGGGGAG